ATGCCAAAATCGTACAGGTGAGTTGTGCAGGACAGAGAGATCGCCTGTGACAAGATGACCGAACTGGCCCACCGTACGTGCACACACAACGAGTTTAAGATAGATAAGACTCTAAAGCATGATTGCTTGCGTGTGTCCGGGGTATACGCGCAAAATTATACAGTAATCACTTTCCGCATTTTAACTCATACTTACTTGTGGGTAGTGGTGTGGGATAATGGATATTTATTGATTTGAACTGACTATCCTCCGGACTTCACATTCACGCACAATCCTCAATTAATGGATTCAACCGTACACTCCGAAGCACTGAACTCGAGTTTCGCTCCTATTAGAGCTCATGAGTAGTGCCACCGTCCCGTCCCGTCCCGTCCGGGATGTGAACTCCGGACCTAACCCGTGTGTGTTACCACTGTGCCAACCAGCTCAATCAATAATAATTTTGGATAGATACGTGACTTTGAGCTTGGGGGTAACTCACGACAGTGAGGTTCTATTACAATCGCACGTTACCTGAATGAAATCTAAACCAAATCCACCAATAAATTTTGGAAGAAAATCACAAGACATCAAATATTTTATTTCAAATCTCAAAACGAACACATCAGATATTTGTAGGAATCATGTTTTACAGGTTTTGGAATACAATTATATAGTTTCAAATGGTGATGGGGGTGGGTGGGTTGAGAGCGACATTAAAGCGTCACGAGTTACACGAGTGAAATAACGAAAGAATGAAGGAAACGATACATATGTCACATTGCTTTCTTTGTCAAAGACTCGAAACGGGTTACGTCATTCATTATTTTATTTTATTTTATTTTATTCTACCAATTTAACCTGTACTAATCAATTTAGAAAGGATATTCGATAAATAAAAGTATATTGTATGCTATAACAGGTGATAGAAAGCATGCAAAAAGATGAAAAACACCTTAATCCATAATTATTCTCACATGGTACTCGATGTGTACAACAATACCGTTCTCATGTGCATGATCAGTTTCATTTGTCCGGCATACTTGAAACAGACAAAGAATCATCTTCATTGATGTTTCTGCGTGGTGGTCTGGGACTAAGAGCACATCCCTGTTCGTTGATCGTCATCTCATCGAGTAATAGTTCACGTTGACCCCTCGACACTGCGTCATTCACTGTTCCCTATATTTACTGAGTTCATTCCGATATGCGACAGACCACTTCATTGTGTTTGTCTCTTCACCTGATACCGATTGTTCGTAGCCCCAAATATATTCAAACAAATCAGAGTCGTTGAGGAATGCCGAAGGTTCAACGAGAATGATCGTTTACACTGTGCAAGCATACCAATAAACCGAATAATGCCGAGTTGCTTAAGACAATAAAAGTGTATAACGATGATTGACTGAGCAGTATGCAATGAATGGATCCACGTACAACAACAAACGTGAACGAAAACACTGTCCGGAACTTCAGTTGAGACACTGAGCCGATCGGTGTACGTGAGAACACATGAATCATCACTCTACATCCATCAACGATGGGGATTCAATTGGATCAGTGATTGTAGCGAATTCCAAAAGGTACCGGAAAAGGAAAGACGGATAAAGCGAGTGAGTCAGAAGGAACATTG